GTTACTAAGGTACGCTAGTTACTATTTTTGGCACCTACGCGACATAAATGAAAATGCAAATTTAAAATATTTTACACTTCATCGCCTTCAGCCGCGTGAATAGTAGGCTATTCAATCTTTAAAACTGCTTCACAAGAAACGCAAGTTTTACTCGCTTATACCTAAAATTTACATTAGTCATTTACTAATACTTAATATAGAAGAAGCCGGCACCCGCAAAAGCTGAACCTAAATATATTTGATTAGTTATTTGTTAAACACTCGGTGTAAAAGCGTTAACACGCGGTTGGTCAAGTGATTATCGTCGTATCGAATATCGACGTATTGACCATGATAAATATCAACATCACTGATAGATACAAATATAAACATACATGATATGATAATACTGATGCATGATTATTTATCCCTGACGCAAGCATTAATACAATATTATTTAAATAAAACAACCAAGTAGACCAACCAACCTGAACATGTTTACGCAAATTCGACAATGATGACAGGCTCGCAGAGCACTCTTTAACTTTCGGTGAACACAGTAAACAAGTTAGCTTCACGATTTTTCCCGCTACAGATTTGAACTGGAACATTGTTTCCAAGTGCGGCCATGGATTCGATTCAGATACTGGTTGTGCCGAAGACATCTTGATGAGCTACTAATCCCACTATGAGTGTAACCGCACACGTCAACGAATGAATGGATAAAAGCACGTGTATGCATGCTATTAACATCGCATTTGCATATACTGTAAATAGTCCAGAATGCACTGTAGCGCCGCCGAGGTAGCGCCGTGTGAATTGTGATGATGATTCAAGCACACAAAATGTAACGGCGTTCTTGACGGCAAATGTAACTAGTTATCGTTACGTTTTATTCCTAATTTTTGTAACTAGTTACAGTTACAAGTTACGTTCTGAAAAAAGTAACTAGTTACCGTTACAGTTACTCAAAAAAGTAACGATTACATGTAACTAGTTACTTGTAACGAAGTTACTCACAGCACTGGATCCAACCACACTCATTCAGCAGATGGGCATGATAAGCTTATGGGCTTTATGAATGGCACCTTTCCTCTTGCCGTATATGGGCTACACCGCTACAAGACGTGTTTATAGCAACTATGTTATATATTTGAAGCTTTGGACCTCAAACTCAGGCCCAAAGCTGGTGGGACGGTGGTACCTAGAACACTTATACAGATCAAGAGGTACAGTAAGGTATTTTTAGTTTATCATATCACCCAAGGAGCAGTAGTTTACCATATTGTATAGCCACATTTTTATAAATTATCTGGTAAACCACATAAAGAATTTTTTTCATATTCTTCATTTAACAGTAATAAGTAAGCACTTGAGGCTTGATAAGGGAACTGAAACGGGTCATATGGCCACTATCCATGCATTTCTGAGGCAGCATCATGATGAAGAGGATAATGAAAATGGTGAAGACACTGTAGATTATGGACCATCAACCAACAACAAGGTAATTTAATTTAAAATCATAGTAGTATAATATATATATATATAGTACTATGTATATATTATATACAGTAAGTGTATGTATAAATACAGTACAATGTCATTTTTGTTGCAGATTGAACGTTGGTGGCGCGAGTTACACAATCGTCTTGAAAAGTATTTCAAGAGGCAGTTACTAATGTTATTAGAGCAAGGCCACTATGATCAGCACAATCAAACTGATAGGTAGTGCTGCTTTTATTCTATTCTGTTTACTGCTACCAGAAATTGTCAGTATGAGTGGTAATGTGGTTATTGCAAATAACAAACCATTGATTGAAAAACTCATTATTTTCATCGGTAACCTATCTTCAAATTTTTAAATTTAGTAAATTTTATATATTTCACTTTTTAAAAATTCTTTAGTGTGGAAATCTTGTTATAAAATTTTCGCTTTTAAAAAAAGCGCACTCTAAAGAATTTTTTTAAACTTTCTCAATAGTTACAGAACATCATGCTCTATTGATATATGTAATAAAAGATAGGCCACCGACTTAATTTTTCAGATAAAGAAAATTTTGTGGGTAAAATAAGCCGGATTTATAGCCCATCATGTCACCATGGCAACAGTGACATTGTTAAAACCACAGAGTAGAGACATACAGAGACGTAACTGACCGTCGTAAACACTGCGGAAGATTACGTTATCATGTACCCACTTTTTTTCGGTGCTCAGCAAGTTTAAAGTGAGTCGTCATCAGGTCGTCATCCAATCAGATGCATGCATCTAGTAACTTGCCGAGCATGCGCACAAAAAAAGTGGGTACACTAGTTATGTCTCTGTATGTCTCTACTCTGTGTCAAAACTGAGTTCATATACTCCACTGATGTTAGATATTACATCCAAGTGTACCAAAGAATGCACAATCTGCATTAATACGCCTGTACTATAGAGATGTTGGGCAGATAGGCACAACATTAGGGTGCCACCTTAAAAGCAAGTTTAATTTCCTTAACAGAGATTTGTTGGCATTTGTTTATATACCAATAATTGGAAAAGAACTGGAGGTGTTCAGAGAAACTATATGGAACTCGCATAGAGTAAGGTGCCAGAAGGATGCTTAGGTACCCAAGGGAATACCAAAACATTTATATGCATTTCCTGAGCAATATGAAGCTGAACAATGTGGTATGTATTGTATGCATTTGCTTCAATCAAAACTGTTCAATTGCTAGCCTGATATATTCATATACCGACATTAATGATATACATTCAGTTATCTCTGATTAACAGGTTTCAGTGTAAGCAAAGAAGCAGTTGATGAGGTAGCCAATCTCTCTGAAGTCATGAGTGTTGGGGATGATTATTTAACTCATGCTGTGAGAGAAGAATGTGAAAGAATTATACCTGCAATTAATGACGTGAAGCCAAATGATGCTGCAACAGCTTATTTATTTCTGAAGGCACATTACAAGGAGCCATCAGCCAGTTTATCAGGAGTTAGTGAGAGCACCTGATGTATACAGTAGCCTGCATGATGTCCATACAAGTCTACAAAAATGCTACACATGTATACATACAACTAGCAACTGGGTAGTGATTTGTTTTAGCATTTGTAAATAGACAAGCAATGACAAAACATCCATTCTGAACAACATAAGAAATATTACATGTAAATATTCATATTTATTAATATTAATAAATATTTATAGTATTAATAAATATAAATAAATGTAAATAATAAATGTAAGTATTAATATTTATTTTTATTAATATTTATTAATATATTCATATTAATATTTATTTTTGTAGTGATTTGTTTCAACATTTGTAAATAGACATGGAATGGCAAAACATCCATTCTGAGCAACATAAGAAATATTACAGCCTTTAATCTATATGAACTTTAGTCTATTTAACGTTTTACTGTCTTTACATGTATGTCGCTATGGCTTTGTGTTTTGATAATGTAAAATAACCTAGATGGAAACGTTTTTTTAACAGAAGATTAAAACCTAAACTCTGCCAACTTTCAAAATAATATCTGTGCTGTCCCAGAATTCTGTCCAAACTTTTTTGTTCATTGGCTACTTGTATCAACTGTGTTGATCATATCACAGAACTTGTTGCATATATGTGTATCCATAAGTTCTTCAATACTTATGAAGGAAACATTGCCACAACAAAAGTATGCTTCACCACTCTCTGCACGCAATTCACTTGTTGCAATTCCTGGGTCATAACTCATAAAGGTGGTAGCCTGCACCTTGAAGATCAACAAGCATGAGCTTCTTGGAACTTTGAATGTGGGAGTAATGCACTAGGCATTCAGCCTTCTCAATAATTGTCATCACCTCAGCACTGCAAACCTATATGTACAAATATAAAAAGTTATATACAGTCATATGTATCCATATGTTGTATATTTTTAGTACATATGAATGGTGTATTTTGATTTGGTCACTGTACTCTATGTCAACTTCATAAGGGGCCATTCATAAAGGATGTCTGAGCCAGGGGGGGAGGGGGTTGCAGTAACCGTACAAAATCGGACATAGGGGGAAGGTACTATTCAACGATCCGGAAGTCCGGTTTAAAAAAAAATCAAAAACAAATATTTATTTTTGTTGTATAAAACAAATATTGGACGGACAAGGAAGGGAAGGGGGGGGGGTGGTATCTATCATTTTGCCAGATTTCCTTTGTGAATGGCCCCTAATATATATGCATGTTAACTATATTATGACACTGACAAATTCACTAAAAAATAGAGTACTGTAACCAACCTCCGGTCTACACACTTTTCCATTGTTGTTGACATATTTTCGAAATGTTCCTTCCACAAATTCTTCTACAGTTGCAGGTTGCCCTTGGTAAACCGTGTAGTAAGCTCTGTTAAAAGTGAAGCATTCACCAAATTCTTGCGGGACTTTGTTGCTAAACACTTTAGTTAAATGCCTCGCAACCGAATGTATTTGCACTTGCTTATGTGTGTGGTCTTCAACAGTCGAATTAAGTGTACCTGTTATTGTATTGACAGCCCTTTCATGGTACTTCTTGATTACCCATTTTTCTTTATCTTTTGTCACTCCAAGAAATGCATCCCTGAATCCACCAGAAGAAAATTTCTCTGCATCCACCAATAAATCAAGAGAGTTTTCTAAAGACACCCATTCTTGCTCATCAAGATGGAACTTTTCTAATTAAGATTACTGATTTCTTCACCTTAGGTTTTACAAGTTGTCCAGCTTTTAGCAACAATTCTATTGAAACAGAATTTGGATAGCGAGTTTCCTCAGTGTCTGGTATCTTACTGACATTTATTGGCTGAGAAAACACCACATCCTTAGGCTCCGAAACCTCTGGGCTATCTGGATACCCATCACCTAATTGTTCGGTGACCATAAACCGCACAAGGTAAACCTGATAGAAGGAAAATGATAATATTAATTAAATGTCATGAAAATAATTATTAACCACATAATTTAATGCTTCAACACCATTATTCTACAAGTGAATCTCCATATGAGAGATAGAGAGAACAAATACAACATGGATGAAAATGCCCTCAACCCAATTTCCACCTCACAAGTCCTTTAGATACTATTATTTTGCCCGTGGGCACACCCCCACCCGCCCTCCGGCTAGTACATCACTGTGATAGAATATATCACGTTTTATAATTTCCTTCTTGATATTTCCATTTTGTACTCGCAGTGCTATAATAGAAATTAAAAAATTGTGTAAAGCATTTCTCAATTCCCATTAAAGTCCAAAGCCCTTGGGGTTGGGTGCGATGGTGCGCATGTGAAACAAAATACAAAAAAGCCTTTTATACCTTGTCCTTCCTGTGTGGAATTTGGTTAATATTCGTACAAGAAGGCCCTTTATTCGTTACCAATACGTCGCATGAGCTCGCGGGAAGATGAAAATGAGCTGCACAAGCTTTTTTAAGATTTGTTAGGCCTCACATTCGTAGGCCACAAACTGGACTGCTTTGTACGTTTGCTTGTGATCTGGTTCGGCTGCCAGACGCTGCACGATTAGTTCATGCGGTGCGGAACCGGTCTTCTTTACTCGTTGATCCTTGCTTCGCTTGCTTTTCATTTTGTTGTGCAGTTCAGCCCATACTTGATGTCGACTCTTTGTTGTAAAATTTCTGTGTTTGCATAAACGCGACACAATGGCGGAAAGAGGCTGGAATTATTGAAAATATAGGTGCGCCCACTGGGTGCGCCCCGGTCAGCGGTGAGCTATATGTACCATATTCATGTCGTGGGACTTTATTGGATCCACTAATATTACAAAAGAATATGAAGTACATCGTATTCATAGAGGGATATAGCGGGCTATGAGAACAACCGGCCGCTTGCAACATTTCATTTTGTGAAATATTTTGTAATGAGAACGACTGGCCAGGGCACGACGGATTGCTTTAATAGTGAAATCGCAAATCAATTTCAAAGTTCACCATACAAATGTTTTTCAATTTCTATATTTTAAAATTTAATTTTGATCTGAAGATTTAAATTTATTTTTTGTTTTACTTTCAAAGTTTTAAATATTTTATTAGGTTTATTAATTTATTTTTATATTTATTTTAATGTATTTTTATATTTCTTTTTAAATATATTTTTACTTTCAAAACATTTATTTGTATTTTATTTAGAATGTAAAATTTTAAATATTTTATTAGTTTATTAATTTGTTTTTATATTTATTTTAATGTATTTTTATATTTCTTTTTAAATATATTCAATTTATCATAATTTCTCCTATGAGAACGACCGGCCACCATAGACATGTTCGAGGTAAACTTATCGCGCGGCGTTGACAGAAAAATCTTCAGTGTAGGCTTTTATTTCTACAAGCAACAGTTTATTACTGTAATAACACCAATTTGGTTGGCTAGATTTACTGTATAGGGGCGTCATGTTTGAACTCTATTGTATGTAAGGGAAATAGACGACTAGTGTATAAATGGGAGAAATTTTGAGGCATCCAAGGGAGACATATATCTCATAAATCAAAGTGTTGAAATTTGAGACGGCTTCCGTTTTTGTGTTCGTGTCAAGGATCTACACTAGACTATATTAAGCGCGCGTAGGTTTATAGCGCCCTGGGCTGGTTGAATGTTCAAAACTTCGTAAGTAGATTTGCAGCCATGCCTTCGCTTAGAGATAACAATCGTTTTAGCACTGTCAGGTAGCCGCGGATTGGGCCCCAGATTCGGCCTTAGATTGGGCCTCACATTCAACTGTATTCAATTATTCAAAAGTAGATTATTTGAACCCCTTTTCTGGCTACTTTTAAGGTATTTTTTACTTTAAATTAGCAGTAACATGAGCAATGCAAACTCCTGCACCATATAGCTGAGTTTCGAAACAATTAGGGAGGCCGATTTTGTACAAACGCTTGCCGAATAATACTATTGTCTAACATTTAATATACAGGGGTGTATAAAAAAAGCGCAACCTCGGAATTTCCCAAGAAATCGACATTGTTTTAAAGACAAAAGATTTTAGGCGCCTGGGAATTTAAAATAGCATAACTGTCAAAATTACTGCACACGCGAGTGCATAAAGCCAAATTTATGCATTTATTTAATGCACAACATCAGTAATATTATCTATTAGCAATTCGATTTCAATTCCCAGCGGCCTAAAATCTTTTATGCTTAAGAATTGCAAAGTGATTTCTTAGGAAATTCCGAGGTTGCGTTTTTTTTATACACCCTGTATACAGGGTGTCCCAAAAAAAACGAAAACTATTGAAATCACTTATTGTTAAATTTGAATGGCCTACCAAACAGCTGGACGTAATGATGCGTAAAATATTGACAAGTTGCATGTATTAGAATTTAGTTAGGAATATCTCCTGGTAAAGTGCGCGATTTTCTGCTCCTGGGAATTAAAAACAGCTTCTTAAACAGTTTCTTTATGCATAAAATTTACTTATGTCAATCATTTATGCACTCGTGGGAACCAACAGAGCGCTAAGGCATTCAAATTCTAACAATTAAATTGTTATTGGTGATTTCAATAGTTTTCGTTTTTTTTGGGACACCTGGATATAAACATTCTGGAGACTTGATGAACGGTTGTACTGGTAGAACAATTAGTGTTTGAACTATTTTAATCTATTAACATTGTATTGTACTTTAAACTACGTGACAATAAATCAGTTGCGTGTTTGAATTATTTTAATTATTGCAAAGAATTTTAAGAATTGCAAAGTGATTTCTTAGGAAATTCCGAGGTTGCGTTTTTTTTATACACCCTGTATAAACAAAAGAAATTAGTGTAATTCTATAAACATATTAATGCAATAAGCACCTTATTAATCCTTGCCGTTTTATTTTATTTATTTACTAGCTTTGTCATTAATGGTTGGTGATCCCTACAGGGCTTATTGCCCCATTCTCGACAAAGGACGACACGATCGAGTGAGATTTAACACAGCCAGTTTTAAACGATTGTGCTACATTAATGTCAAATATAATGGACGTTGGTGAGTTTGTACCCCAATTTGCTTCACTTCATTAGAAAGAGCATGAAATACTGCACAATATGTTGAGTTTCACAACAATTAGGAATACAGATCTTGCGGAATATAGATGTTTGCACAATGTAATTCTATAAACAAAAGCAATTACTACCTTATTAATCCTTGCCGTTTTGACATTGGTGAGCTTGTGCCCCAATTTGAGGTACATCATTAGAAAGAGCATGAAATACTGCATAATTTTGGCGAATTTTGGTAACCGTTTTATGTACCGTTGCCGTGGTTTTGAAAGTAGTCTTACGCCCGTATTCTAAAAGCTCACTCACACTCAATGAGTGGAAGTTCAGTCTGAGCTTCTCTCAAGTGTCATTGCTGTTTTTGAATAGCTGGAGGGTTAGTGTCGTACCGTTACTATGTGACTATACTCACATTCCCGGCAGCTATTGAAAAACAGCGCTGACGACACTCAAGAGAAGCTCAGATTGAACCTCCACTCATGCATTGAGTATGAGTGAGCTTTTAGAATACGGGTGTTAGTGCAGGTTTCTGTAATTATGTCAGTAGGTTAGTAGATTTTATATATAAAGAGTTCATTATTATAATTTTTGTATGATGTTAATCTGATCATCTTAGCGTTATTTGTAAATTTGACATTGTATGAGGAGTGGAATTCTATGGAACTTTTTTAGGTGGGAGAATACCTCGCACCTGCGAACAAGCTGGGTATGGGAGACCGATTTTTGACAAGTGTTATATTATTAAGTTCACAATGTCCACGATGTATGCATGCATACAGTGGTTTGAAAATTAAAATTATATAAAAAATATAAATGTACTTGCCAATGGTTTCAGGATATTTTAAGGAAATTTAATATATCGATTTCATAAATGATTATATAATTGTAAAACACCAGTCACCAAAACTGAATCGAAAATGCATGGCTATATTTGGGAGCAATCCCAGTAAAACGATCTATTCTGTAGCGAGTCCTCCGGTGACTCGAATCATAACTCGATGTGAATCCTCGTGGCTCTGGTTACTAACTCAAAATAGTCGCTATTAGCACTGGCGGCTAAACATGTACAATCAATTAGTCAATGTCAATGGCACATTGTCCTTGACAACGTTACTAAAAGTATATACGAAAAACGTCTATACGTGGCCTATAGATGCTTTGTACAATTGAGCATAGAAGCCTTTACGCATCTATAGAGCCCTGTAATTGTCCTTGACGACGTAAATTACAAAATGGGCAGTTATGACGGTTTGAAAACGAGTATAATATAGGCTATTGTATTGCTGTCTTTTCTGACAGTTCTTAACCTTTAAAGTAAATTAGAAAATGATGTAATTATACTCGCTTGCGATAGTAAAATATATTCGTCGTTTTGCAGTGGCGTAACTCCTATGAGCTCTACCCGGTAAGAGCCGGGGGCACCCAGGCAATCTGGCTCCCAGGGGGGGGGCACCCTGAACTGAGTTATCCGGCGGCCTTGTTTATATAATTTCCGTTTCGTAAAGCTATTAAGAATTTTTGCCGGATTCAGATTTTCTGTATGACAGTTGGTATATAACGTGACTCCAGAAGTTGAAGCGAAACTAAGACAAAGTACAAATGCACAATGGAAAAATGGAATGTCTTCGGAGCCAGTGGCAGCACGGTTAATCGAAGGATAATATGAATATATGGTTAACCGTGGTGGCAGTGAAGAAGTACACGACGTGTTTCGACAAACAGAACTGACAAACAACCGATCTTGTGTTCATGTGATTTCTTGAGAATGGCTTTCACTTGCTAGGATATTTCCAATTTAGAAGGAAATTGTAAGGGACCGGTCATAAAGCCCTTACATAAAAATTGATGACCCACCCTGCGTTGAAAATTTGCTTCAAGACAAACTCTTTACTTCCTTCGTGTTCTTTCTCGTTCCACTATAGTGCATGTACTACATGACATAGCCAACAATTAGTACACACTTTAGTGGTGAAAATTCATGGATAACCATTCATAACTGCTGTGCGGCACCAAGCGAGCATGAAGCGAGCGAAGCGGCATTCTAATATATGCAGAGAGGTGGTTTTGAAGTAATGTGGGACCATGCACTGTAATTGGCACATAGCTGTTGTGGTTTCCCAGCCATGCAGTGAATGTATAAGTATTATGGCAAAGTATGAATAAATAAATTTTATTTAGCGCATTGCATTGTCGTCGTGCGCCCTTGCTATGCGCAGAACATAAAATACAAGCGACGTGCGACATACAGTATTTGAGGCGTATTTGAAATATATCGTTTTGCTTGCTTCGACTTGTAAATTATTTTGACTCAGGCACTCAGCGTAAGGTTTATTAAAGTTTTAGGCCCTGCAAAGGGAACTTCTGCAAAGGCCATAATTTAGTGCATAAAATAACGTGACTGCACTTTGTGCCTTGTAATTCACTCAATGGACTTGCCACTGAACACTGTTAGTTGTATATTATTATAAAGTTTGGTTTCTTAGTTTGATTTAATTACTGTGTATATAATGTGGTAAATGCGCCTAGCAGTATTAGACTTAATATGAAATCCAATAGCAAAAACTTGTGTTATATAATTTACCTGTACGTCTTAAGAATGCTTTGTCATTTGTATTTATACGCGTACTAAAGCAGCGCGTAATTCAACAGATTCCACTTGGTCTTGGAAATATTATATATTTTGGCTGTAGGGAGTGGGAGTGTAGGCTATGTCTTAAGAATGCTTGGTCGTTTGAATTTATACGCCGGTACTTAAGCAGCGCGTATAATTCAACAGATTCCACAGTTCGACTTGGTCTTGTAAATATTATACTGATACTCTTGCTTATGCTTTAGTGAATATTACTTCCATAAACATTAACACGCAAGTATTCAATGAGACGCAC